TTAAGAGAACATTACTACTCACTAGATTGTAGATTTATTACAAAGGATATTAAATTATATGAATCAATAGCCAAATGAAGACATGCATCAAGCAAGGTCCTGGAAGAAGAAGCTTCTGTCCTCATGGAGCTCGGGGCCCAGACTAGTGGCAGATGGAAGTATGGTAGTTCCCTAATGTGGAAGATCTCTGGAAAAAAAGAGAAAAAACAGAACTTATGAGCTGTCTTTATTTCCTTATTTGGGTTTTTATGGAGATTTCATTTTGTAGTCATGGTTGACTAAGTCATTGGCCATTAAAGATTGATTCAACCTCAAGCCCCTCTCCCCTCCTCAGAAATCAGGGGGTGAGACTGAAAGTTCCAATCCTCAAACCACATAGTTGGCTCTTACTGGTAACGAGCCCCCACCCTTGGGTGGGGTCCAACAGTCACCTCATTAACCTCATAACAAGAGACACCATTGTTGCTGTCATCACTTAGGTAATTCCAGGGAGGGGGTGCAAGCTCTGTGCCAGAAACAGGGACACAGACCAAATATATTATTTCTTATTACAAGTCATAATATCACACACACCCAGTTCTTTCAACTGCTTTTTAAAATGAATTCTGTATTTTTATTGTTCCCCTCTATGGATGTAATTTATTTCACCAACTTTGTTCTCAGAATGTAGTGCCAAAACTTGACCATAGATTTCTGGAGGTAGCAAAGAATCTGGCGGAGCCTCTTATGTCATAAACACCACAGCTCAAGGTTGCCCTCCTCTTCATCTCTCTTCAAAAACACATATTGGGCTTTTTTTTCTTTTTAAGAAAATTGCTCCTTTGATACAGCTCCCACATAGAACACTCTTTTGAAGGGTCTCTCTGTCTCTTCCTCTTGCTCTCCCCCATACTTCATACTTTTATCCTCAACAGCCCACCCCACCATCACCCCCCCTCCCCCACCTGCTGTGGACACAGAAATTCGATACCTGGATCAGCTTAGGCCTGGGTCTGAGCAAGGTGAGAGTGAAGAGGGCTCTGGTGCCCCAGAGGCATATTAGACTGTGTTGTACCTGAAAGGAGGAACCATGAGAAAGCCAAGAAGACCCCTTAGAACGTGTTACCAAAAATCAGATTACTAGATATAAGGACACAATAATTTTTATGACCCTTCTAATGAACATAGCAAGCTATTTCAAGATGTAACAGTGTACATTGCTACCAAAGTTACTGAGAATTTGAAATGAACAAGCATTAGGGTGTTTTACTTTTTAACTTAATAATTAGGGCATCTTTATAGGCATTTAATTTGCATTTCTTTAGTAATACAAAGTACTTTTGTTTTTAGTTGTAAAGACAAATGTTTGAATAAAAAAGGTAATATTAATCTTATAGTTTTTTTGAAAACAAAGATTTATCAGTAGGAGAGAAAAGGTATAAATCAAGTAATGTAGGAAGGATCACAGTTCCTGATATCAAACTATACTACAAGGCCACTATAATCAAAACAGTCTGGTACTAGCATAAGAACAGGCACATAGATCAATGGAACAGAACAGAGAGCCCAAAAATTAACCCATGTCTGTATGGTCAATTAATAATTGACAAAGAGGGCATGAACATATGATGAAGTAAAAATAGTCTTATCAACAAATGGTGCTGGGAGATCTGAAATGGTACATGCAAAAAAAATGAAACTACACCACCAACTTATGCCATACACTAGAATAAACTTGAAATGGATAAAAGACTTAAGCCATGACACCATAAAAGTCCTACAGGAAGACATAGGAAGTAAAACTTCAGATATCCCACACAGCAATATTTTTGCTGATACATCCTCTAGGGCAAGGGAAGTAAAGGAAAAAATAAACAAATGTTAGTACATCAAATTAAGAAGCTTCTGCACAGCTAAAGAAAACATCAGCAAAATAAAAAGGGAACTGATCATATGTGAAAATATATGTGCCAGTGATACCTCAGACAAGGGTTTGATCTCCAAAATATATAAAGAACTCATATGACACCGTATCAGGAAGACAAACAATCCAATTTAAAAATGGGCAAAGGACCCGAACAGACACTTCTCTAGGGAGGACATACAGAGGGCACATGCACATATGAAAGGATCCTCAGCATCACTAGCCATCAGAGATGCAAATTAAAACCACAATGAGATACCACTTTACACTGGTCAGATGGCCATCATTAATAAATCAACAACAAGTGCTGGTGAGGATGTGGAGAAAAGGGAACCCTAGTGGACCATTATTGGGAATGCAGACTGGCACAGCTGCTGTGGAAAACAATATGGAATTTCTCAGAAAACTGAAAATAGAACTGCCTTTTGACCCAGTGGTCCCACTGCTGGGATTATACCCTAAGAGTCCTGAAACACCCATTCAAAAGAACCTATGACCCCCAATGTTCACAGCAGCATTATGTATAATAGCCAAGTGCTGGAAACAGCCTTAGTGCCCATCAGTAAATGAGTAAATTAAAAAACTATGGTACATTTACACAATGGAATACTATGCATCAGAAAGAAAGAAGGAACCCCTACCCTTTGCAACAGCATGGATGGAACTGGAGAGCATTATACAAAGTGAAGGAGGCCAGGCGGTGAAAGACAAATACAATGTGATCTCACCTATAAGAGGAAGCTAATGAATAAAACAAACAAATAAGCAAAATAGAACCATGAAACAAGGAACAAACTGACAGAGACCAGAGGAAAAGGAGGAGGGGGACAAGGGAGGAAAGAAGGGGAAGGGCCTAGTTAAAGAACAAGTATAAATGACCCATGGACATGGACAACAGGGTGGGGATGGACTGTGGGGGAGGGGAGATAGCCATGCAAGTAGGAGAGAGTAATGGAGGAAATTGGGACGAATGTCATAGAACAACAATAAAAAGATATAAATCAAGTAATGTTATTTTCTAAAGTCATGTTTGTTCTGAGGAAAATAAGATTCTAGTGATTTTTTTTTCACACACAAGGCTCACAGAGGGCTGGAAATAGTTCATGCTCCTGCTAGGAAGAGTAGCAAGGCCTCTCAACTCAAGGCACATAAAGACTTCAGAAGGGTCACGCCTTGGTAGTGGGGTTGTGTTATCCCCCAAATTAAAGCTGTTCTAGACCCATAAGAAAGCTCAGACACAAGCCTTGAAGATATCAAACCGATTTGCAATATGTTAGCTGGATCTTGTTTAACAGAACAAAAACTGAAACAATGTACAAACATGTTTAAAGGAATATAACAAAATTCAGTATCTCCAAAAATAAAATTTACAATATCCCACATTCTATCCAAGTAACCAGTCATGCAAATAAGCAGAAAAATATAACCATACTGAAATAAAACTCTACCATATAAATAAGTCCATAAATGTTAGAAATAATGGAATTAGTACATATGAATCTTAAAGCATCACTATACATCTTATAATACAATATATATTCAAGAATATAAAGAAAACCATAAATATGATGAAGAGAAATAGAAGATATACAAAAGACCATTTAGAAAGAAAATAAGTAAAAAATGTTTTAAGTTTACACTGTATGGAAAGAACAGAAAATTAGCCACTGGAGAAGAAATGACCCATGAATTTGAAAATGTAGCAATATGAACTCTTGAAAATAAGTGTAGAGAGAAAAAAGACTGGAAAAAAAGCCTCAGTGAGCTGTGTGACAATATCAAGTGGTATAAGTTACACATAATTAGTGTCTCAAAGAAGTGACACAAAAAAAATGTGTGAAAAAATAATTATGGTTGAATATTTTCCAAAAAATGTTTGTTAAAAGCTATAAACTCAGACAGTAAGTTTGATGAATCCCAAGAAACAAAAATATAAAGAAACCATGCCAAAGCACATGATAATGTGCCATAATAAAATCACTGAATTCAGTGGTAAAGTGAAAAATCCTCAAAGCAGCAAAGGATAAAAAGAACACACGCATCACATACAACAGGACAAAGATAAGAAAACCAGCAACTTCATATCAGAAGTCTTGGAAGCCAAAAGATAATAACTGACAATTTTAAAGTGCTTGAAAGACAGAAATTGTTAATGTAGAATTTTATACCCAGTGAAAATCTCTCTAAAATGAAGGTAAGAAAAAGACTTTTTCAAGGCAATAAATTTAACCACATAGATGAAATAAACACACTTCTTGGAAGACAGCATCTACCAAGGCTCACTAAAACATAATGGATAACCTGAATAATCCTAGTCTAATCAAGAAATTGAATTGATAGCTAAAACACCTTGACACAAAGATAACTCTAAGCCCAGATGGCTTCACTGGAGAATTTTTGCAGACATTCAAGAAAACCATAATACCAACGTACACAAACTTTCAGAAAGGCAATGTTTATCAATATAATTAGCTAAGATGAGGCTATACTGGTTTAAGCTGGGCATTAAATTCAATGACTGGTGTCCTTATAAGAAAAGGAAGGGACATAGGTTCATATAGGGACAGAGGCCATATCTTGATAGAGGGAGAGATTGGAGTGATGCACTTGCAATGCTAGGGACGAAGGATTGCTGGAAGCCAGCAGAAGTTAGGACGAGGAGGGGAGGGTTCTCCCCAAGAGCCTGAAGAAGGAGAATGGCCCTGCCAACACGTAATTCCAGACTCCAGCCTTCAGAACTGTGAGAGGATCAATTTCTGATTTTAAGTCCCGAAGAATGTGGTCATCTCTCACGGAGGCCGCAGAAAACTAATATACCTTGCTATGCTAAATGATGTTTTTTAAATTACATTTACAGTATTAACCTTAAATCATATCTGTTTGCTTTTCTAACTGCTCTTCTGTTGAAAACACAAACCAGAACGATTTCAGTTTACCAATGTGTTAGTCAACACTCAGAACGGCACCATGTTCAAAACCCATTGCTCTGCTCGGTGGTTCCATTTGATTTGTTTGCTTTGTTTTTCCCAAAAGTAATGTGAACTTCCCAAAATTCACTTGGGAAATTATATAATTTTTTTCTTTTTCTTATTCTAAGTTTGCTTCTGCCATGGCCCAGTATGCTAGAGAATATAAAAGGTCTTATATAACATCCAATTATCAAATCAAAATCATTCATCCCTGCCCACGTCCAAGTCAATTGAGTTCAGCCTATTTTTTTTGCTTTGTTTTTAGAACTAACATATTAGTTCTGATAATAAATTTTTAAAAATTTTGTTAGTTGAATTAAGTTTAAATATAGGAGGCTTAATTTTGTGTTCTCCTTTTAAGGTTGATTTAACTCCTTCTGACCAAACAAATATTTTTTTTAAAGTAAATTACGTAAGAATTGAAGCTTTGAGAAAATTTGAATTACTTATACTTTCAAGCTCACTACACTATAATATACAATTTGAAAATCTAAGGCTGTTTCAAAATGTATAAAAGCATTCAAAACAAGCAAAACACTAAATAAACTGATCCCTAAAACTCATTGTAGACTCAAAGATGTGTGCAGTATGGTTGAAGAGAAAGGAATAATGTTAGTTGAGTTGTTTTTGATGCTGTTTTTGAAAATAACATTTCTCAAAGAAACTTTTCGGATAGTTTGAGGGCAGGTCTTGTTTAGGAAGAGACAGTTAGAAACTTATAATAGAAATCAGCTAGCCTAGAAGAGAAAGCAAGACATTGGGGGCAGAGAACTTGGATTTAGGTAACAGGCCTGCAGAATTATGGGAAAGTCACTTAACTTTGAACCTCAGTGTTTTCATTCTCAGCTAGTACTGGGTACACAGAAAATGTTTTATAAATATTTGCCTCACAAGATTCTTTTGACTAAATGACTGCTTACATATATAAAAATTCTTTGTGTACTGGAAAGCACTATAAGCACTATGGATTGTTTTTCTGGCACCTACCTGTTCTTTAAACACAATAGCATACAAATATGTATGCACAGACAATAACCTTCATTCAGTGATTCTGCAAGGTTCCTGCACCCCTCTCTCTAACACTCTTTTTCCTGGGCTCACATTCTGCTTCTCTTCCTCCTCCTCATTTTGGTATGTCGCTCAGATTTCCTTCTCTAAACCACCAGCCTCAGTTTCTCCATTCAGCTCTGCTTTCTTCCAGATTTCAGGCCACCTGCAAGGATTGGTAAGAAATGTTGCCTTTTTCAGCCTTACTCTCTGCTTCCTCCATGAATTCCCCACTCCTTTCTGCCATCATTATCCTTCAACAGCCCACCGTCTTCACCAATGGAAGAGACCATTTGGAGAAGTTGGTGAATACAGCAAATTATGCCCACCTTTTTCAGACTACTTCCTACAGCTCCAGTTTGCTTGTTTTACCAAGTCCAAAATCCTTTGTTTCCCATTTCATTCAAGATAATGTTTAGATTCTTGTACATGGCAAAGTCTTCAATGCCTTAATATCTATCCGCCTTCTCAATGATACCTCCTGCCGTTCTCCCATTCACACCAAAACACCACACTGACCTAAAGTCATGATTGTTTATTTTCTCCCTCATTTCAAAAAAACATTGACAAGTACACTATGTTTTCTCACACTCCCACTCTAAATAACTTCCTCTCCCTTCTTTCTTTTTTTTTCTAGTACCTACTCATCCTTTGAGATTCAGCTCAGACATTACCTCCTCCAGGAGACTTCCCCTGTGGGCTCTCTCATAGCATTTTTTTCATGCTCTATTGATTTTCTATTGCTATGTAACAAACTACCCCATGCTTGGTGGTTTAAAACAACACATATTTATTATTTCACAGTTTTGATGTGTGCAGAGGCCAGGCACAGTGTAGTGGGCTCCTCTGCTCGGGATCTCATAAGGTATCAGCGGGGCTACAATCTTATCTGGAGGCTCAAATAGGGGAGGATCTGCTTCCAAGCTCTCTAAGGTTGATGATGGAGTCCACTTCCTTCTGGCCTTAGAACTGAGACCCCAGCTTCTCGCTGGCTATATGCTGGAGACCTGCCTCAGCTCCTAGAGGATGCCTGTAGTTCATTGCCATGTGGGATTTCCCAACATAGCCCCCTGCTTCAGCCAGCCAGCAAGAAGAGTCTTTAGAGCAAATCTAATAGCAAGATGAAATATTACATAATGTAACATAATCATGGGAGTGAGATTCCTCACCTTTGATATATTTTATTGATTAGAAGAAAAATCACAGGTCCCACCCACCCACTCTTAAAAGGGAAGGGATTACATAAAGGTATGAACACTAGAATTTGAGGATCATGACAGGCCCCCTTAGCGTTTGTCCTTTGCACATGCTGTGTTATGTGAGTCTCTTTACTGCCAGTCCCTTCAATAGACAGTGACTTCCTGAGGGAAGGGGCTGCTTACCCCTCAATCTGCCACAGCACAGTGCTTGGCATATAATAGTTATTCAATGCTCATGAACACATGAATAAATAAATGATAGAATGAAGCAGGTTGTCATGCTTTTAACAGCTCTCATTTTTAGAAAAAGGGGAATAAGTGCATGATGAGCAAGAAATATTAAAGAAGATGAGCTGGAAGAGAGAATATTTAAAGGAATGTCCAGAAATTAATTTGCTCTTTGGTGCTTAGCCTGGTCTTCTTTGAAAATGAAGTGGACGATCCTTTGTGTTTAACCTTACTGCTAAGAGAAGAGACTGTACCTAAGAGGTCATGGTAAATTACAATATTGTTCAGAAATGTTTACTCCCTATCTGGATCCACCTCCATGGGCAGAATACACTCCCTTGACCTTTGAGGTTTGCCGCGTGACTTGTTTTGATCAATGGATTAGTAGGTGTGACATGCTCAGGGTTTAGGCAGGGTTTGTGCAGTTTGGCTTGCTCTTTCTCATTCCTGCCATCATCTGAAGAACGTGCCTGAACTAGCCCTCTGGTCACAGAGAAAGATAAGAGGCACGGAGCTCAGCTTTCCCAGCCCTGCCTTCCAGCCATGCCCAGCCCAAAGAAGCCAACCCCCAGCTCCACCTCAGATGTTCAACCCAAACAAATGCTCACTGTTGTATGTCACTGAGATTTTTGTGGTTGTATATTATGTAGCAACAGTGAACTTACACAGAATATCCAAGGGACGTTTGACTAAGAAAAATGAATGAACTCTGCGCTTCTCTTTGGCAGAGAGGGTTAGCATGTCAGAGTTTGCCAATGAAAAAATTCACCTGAGATTTAGGGGGTGGGGGAGAAGAAGAGATCATTATTCCTTTTTAAAATTTATTTTTCAATTACAGTTGACATTCATCATTAAGTTACTTTCTGATATACAACATAGTGATTAGATATTTATATAATATACTAAGTGATCTTCCCGATAAGTCTAGTACCCACCTGTCACCATGTAGTAGTAACACTGACTCTATTCCCTGTGCTGTACTTTACATCCCCGTGACTATTGTGTGACTACCAATTCGTACTTCTTAATTCTTTCACGCAGCCCTCCAATTCCCCTTCCATTTGGCAACCCTTAGTTTGTTCTCTACATCTATGAGTCAGTTTCTGTTTTGTTTTGTTCTCTGTATCTGTGAGTCTGCTTCTGTTATGTGTGTTCATTTATGTTGTTCTTTAGAGTCAACATGTAAGTGAAATCATATGATGTTTGTCTTTCTCTGTCTGACTTATTTTATTTAGCATAATACTCTCTAGGTCCATCCATGCTGTCGCAAATGGTAAGATTTTATTGTTTTTATGGCTGAGTGGTATTCCATTGTTTATATGTACTACCTCTTCTTTATCTACTCTTCTATTGATGAGCACTTGGGTTGCTTCTATATCTTGGTGATTGTAAATAATGCTGTAATGAATGTAGGGTGCATATATCTTATTAAATTAGTGTTTTAGATTTCTTTGGATATATACCCAGAAACAGAATTGCTGGATTGTAAGGTAGTTCTATGTTTAATATTTTGAGGAACTTCCAAGCTGTTTTCCACAGTGGCTGCACCAATTTGCATTACCAGCAACAGGCTCCAAGGGTTCCCTTGTCTTTGTATCTTCACCAACACTTGTTGTTTGTTGATTTATTGATGATAGCCATTTTGACAGGTGTGAAGTAATATTTCATTGTGGTTTTAATTTGCATTTCTCTGATGAGTACTGACATTAGCATCTTTTCATATGACTATCGGGCATCTGTATGTCCTGTTTAGAGACGTGTCTATTCAGGTCCTCTGCCCATTTTTTAATTAAATTGTTTTTTGGAGCATTGAGGTGTCTGAGTTTTTTATAAATTTTGAATATTAACCTCTTTCTTATTGGATGTGTCATTGGTGACTATGTTCTCCGATTTAGTAGATTGTCTTTGGTTTTGTCTATGGTTTCCTTTGTCAAAACTTTTTAGTTTGATGTAGTCTCCCAGGTTTTTCGTTCATTTGTTTCTCTCCCTTGCTTGATGAGATATATTAGAAAAATAATGGCAAGAGCAATGTCAGAAAATTTACTGCCTATGTTTTTTTTCTAGGATTTTTATGGTTTTGAGTCTGACATTTAAGACTTAACCCATTTTGAGTTTATTTTTGTATGTAATATAAGAAGATTGCCTAGTTTCATCCTTTTTATATATCTGTCCAATTTTTTCAATACCATTTATTAAATTAACTGTCTTTACCCCATTGTATATTCTTGCCTCCTTTGTATTATATTAATTGACCATATAGATGTGTGTTTATTTCTAGGTTTCTACTCCCTTCAATTGACCTCTGTGTCTGCTTTTATGGTAGTACCACACTGTTTTGGTTACTATAGCCTTGTAGTGTAGTTTGATATAAGGTAGTACGGCACCTTCAACTTTGTTCTTCTTTCTCAAGATTGCTGTTGCTCTTCAGGGAGATTATTATTCCTGAGAAGTTGTCTATATCAAACACGGCAGCTTCCTCAGACACAGCACTTTCATGTAACTCTTTGCAAACTCTCACTTTACAGATATGATGACTTCACAAGTATATCCATGAACTCATCATTTTTGTCCCACTTTGGGTGGCAGGACACATGCAGCTACTTGTACTTCCCCATGAACTTCTGGTTTTCCCACTCATGTCAGTGCATCAGGCTGAAGTAGGTAGTGATTATTTCCCCAGTTCTCCAGCTACAACCTTCAAGACCTTCTCTCTCCCAAGTCTTCTTCGACATGTATGAGCCCAGTTTCCTATATTAGACCCCTTATTTCTGTATTACTTATATTGTGGTTCCCTTTTCTCAACCGAATGCAGCTGATACAGAAGTGAATGGAAATAAACCATTTGACAATAAACAGATCCCACCCATCAGGACAAATTTTAATATCTTCACTTAGTAATTATTTTAAGATAAAAAATTATAGGAAGTGAAGTTTCTAGGATCCATCCCAAGAAACATGAACTATAAGGCACTTATAATTTGTGCTTCTATAACTTATTTTAACATAGAACATAATTATTTATTCCCACCAGTAAATCCAAGGTTTCTCAGAGGGACTTACAATACTTAAGTTTTTTCTGGGGGAAATAAGTTAAAAGTTGTATTTATTTTTTCTGTGTTATAAGGAATAATTTCTACATTTATTTTGCATTAAGCTCTGCTAATCTAACCAGGACTTCTTTTTATGTTTCCTGGGAGTTTTTTTTTTTTTTTAAACAGGGCAGGAACTAGAAGGGCAAATGGTTAAAATGATTGACAACCAACATTCACTTCACCCCAACAACTGGTGTTAGCTAATCCCATTTTCCTTGCCAGTGACTATTCAGGAGCAGGGTATGACACAATCCTGCCTGAAAGGAAACACTCTGGGGACCTCAGGGGTGTTTTTCTACTCTTAAAAATGAGACCGTGGAAGAAGATCCCCTTTTTTCCTCTGGATTTTGCCATGTCTGAAGCAAATAGTGCTAGAATGGCCATACTGCTCTTACTGTGACTCTGAAAATAAAGGTAACACCAAAGGTGGCCAAGCAGAGCAGTAAAGTGAACTTGCCCTAATGTCATTGTTGAGGCACTGTGTCACTCAGTCCTGCCCTGTCTGACTTCTCTCTCCTGCGAGATAAAACATTTCCCTGTTGTTTAAACCATTTTGAATTGGGCTCTGTATTTCTTAGAATCAAAAGCATGTGAATTCAGAAAAGCCCAAACATGGTTAGAAAAAGCTAGTTGGTTCCATCAGTGATATGTTCAAAGAAAATAAAGAAGAAGGGTTTTCTCAAGGGGAAAAATAAAATTTAGTTTTAAACTAATGAAACCTAGAGACTAACAGTAAAATGCAAAGATAAACACTTGATCATTGGAGACCTCAGGGCTCTCACAGGGTAATGGCAGCTGTCTAAACTCAAATCTCTCTTCAAACCTGTCCATAAACCAAAGAGACCAAGAGAAAACTTCACTCATAACCTTTATCTATAACACAACCAGAAGGCAATGAATATCACAAGTTCATTTGCTATGTAGCTGAAGGAATGAACATCCTGTAGGAGGCCAACAGACTCTGTCCTGGAACCCACACTGGGCAGTGGGTTAGGTGGCAACCGCGCAGAAGGGAGGCGAAGGCGAAGGGGTGGTAGAGGGGGCAGAGCATGCACAGCACCAACCAGGTGCATCCCCAGAAAGCAAGTTCCCCATGATGAGTGGAAATATTCAGAAACATTGATATTATATCTAAATTCTTCTTAAAAGTGTAAACAGTTCATTTTCCTGTTCACACGAGCTGTACAAAAAGGATGAAACTCCTTTGGCTGACATATGAGTGCTTCCTAATCTGGCCCCCACACAAATTGGCAGCTGCACTAAATCCTCCATGCACTGTGACACAGTGATGGTGGGTTCCATGGGCCTGGGATCAAACCTTACTGGCTGGATGTCCTTGAGCATGTTTCTGCAGGTCACTCATTCTCGATTTACTCATTTGTCAAATAAGGATAATACTGCCTGCCTGTCACAGGATTGTGTCTAGGTTAAAAAATATTATACATTTAGACTGCTTAGCACAGCACCTGGCACAGTGTAAATACTGAAGTCTCAACTCTGATGATCTCTGAACCTGTCAGGTCCTCATGCACCTTTGTGTCTTTGTATGTGCTATGTCCTCTGTGTAAAGTGCTCCTACCCTCTTCTCTGCCCTTCTCTGTTTAGCAAATTGCTCCTCCTCTTTCTGAGTCTACGTCTGTTTTCACTTAGACACAGTGACTCCACCTTGTGCTGCTGAAGCACCCCTGGACACACCTTTTTCCTGACACATCTACTGGCACTTAGCAGGGCCTCAGGAAATTAATGTTAAGTGAATAAACCAACAGAGAATACAAAGATTGACCAAAATGGAAAGAAAGACTGATAACAAATAAAGTTCACTGCAAAATGTAAAATTTAGAAAGTTTAAAAATGTTGCTTGCATTCACTCACTTGATCTTAGGCATTATGCTACAAATGTGGGGACACTTCTTTTTTTATTGTATTTCCTGCCATCTTTTAAGTTTCTGTGGGTTTTTTGGTATTTCTTATTGTAGTTCTATTTTTGCCAGATTCACAAACTGAAACAGAAGTTGTCACAAAGACTGATGAAACAGGAAGGATGGAAGAGTGATGATGATAATCTCAGTGATTCATGGGGAAAAAAAGTGGAAGATCTGGTCATCTGGACCAACACTCTTGATACAGATACTTTAGAAGATTAAGCCTAAAGCTCCAGGATTTAAAAAATAGTCTCAACCACAGTTCAGCTTCATATAGCAACTTTGAAAGGGTCTCTGAACTTGGATTATATTTGTTTTTTTCAAATTAGCCTCATCTTCTCATTGCAAGCACAAATTAGAAATATAAGTAAAAATCAATGAGCATGTTGCTTTGAATTTTTTTAGCTCTGCTTTGTTCTTTGAAACTAAGTTAGACAAATCAGGGGTGTTCATTGTGGTATTCCAAACAACAGTATTTACCCACAGTTGGTAGGCAACTGGATACAAGTTTCTGCAGGCAGGACATGGGTCAGGAGGAGAAGCTGGGATAGGAGAACACTCAGGAGCTCCAGTGTCTCTGGACATTAGCCCAAATAGAGGGATCTATACATTTATCTATGTCCATCTTCTTAAGCGTCTTCTTTCCTCCATAGTTGTGGGATGAAATGTTACTTGTCCACCAATGTTCCTTTTCTGTTTCTACCAGAATGCATGCTTTGTTTTCTCCTCGACCAGCCATCTCCTCATCTTCTCATACTTGTATTTCTTCCCCTTCTTTTTGCTGTGTTGCCTCAACCTACAAATATGCTTGGGTCACTCCTATTACAAAATATGTCTCCACTTATTCCCTGTGTTTCTACTTCCCTCAACACTATATCATTCATATTTTCTCAGATTCATTAATAGTAGTCTACTATTTGCTCTCTTTATTTCTTTAGTTCACTTTACATTTGCACCTACTACCAATAAAATCTGTCTTCTGTTATACTACTCGATTAAAATTCACTAGGGCCACAGAAAACTTCTATATTGCTAAAATCCAACAGATACCTTATTTTTTTATTGGGACTATGTTATTAGGGAACTGATATTGTGTAATTAAAATGTGCTAAATAAAATTTATGCAGGTAAGAACCATGCAGAAGACTGCTTCTTCTACATTATCTTTTGTTAGTTTTTACATATATCAGTTGAAAATATGTCCTCATGATAGAAAGCAATCTTGTAAGTTATAACTGAATTGGATTAAACATGGAAGATTAATAAGGGTAATATATCAAAAAGAAGCCTACCTTATCATCACATTTTAAAAAGCTAATAAATGCCTAAGTCACAAAGATCGGTACAACTAATATACAATCCCATGGCACTAGAGGAAAAAGTCCAGTGGTTTCTGGTGTTTTCTGGCACTTATTCCAACTTTTTTTAAAAATTTAATCTTTTTTATATTTTTTCCATTACCTTTTAGTCCCCTTACAACCCCCTACTTACTCCCCAGCAGTTACCACACCGTTGTCCATGTTTTTCTTTTTTGTTCAATCCCTCCACCTACTGAAGTCGCCCCCGCCACTAGCTGTCATCTGCTCTCCATCTAGGAGTCTGTCTCTGTTTTGCTTGTTAGTTTGGTTTGCTCATTAGATTTCACATGTGAGTGAAATCATATGGTAGTTGTCTATCTCTGACTGGCTTATTTCACTTAGCATAATGTTCTCCAGGTCCATCCATACTGTCTTAGGGGGTAAATTTTTTCCTTTTTTATTGCCGAGTAGTATTCCATTGTGTAAATATTCCATAGTTGTTTTATGCACTCATCTACTGATGGACACTTGAGCTGCTTCCATATCTTGGTGTGTGTTGGGGGGGGGGGTGCTTATGTTCTTTCTAATTAGTGTTTGGGGTTTCTTTGGATCTATTCCCAGAAGTGGGATTGCTGGGTCAACAGGCAGATTCATTTTTAATTTTTTGAGGTATCTCCATACTGCTTTCCACAGCAGCTCCACCAGTCTGCATTCTCACCAACACTGCAAAAGGGTTTCCCTTTCTACACATCCTCGCCAGCACTTGTTGCTTGTTGATTTATTGATGATAGCCATTCTGACAGGTGTGAGATGGTATCTGATTATCATTTAATTTGCATTTCTCTGATGATTAGTGACGTGAGCATCTTTTTATATGTCCATTGGTCATCCGTATATTGTCTTTGGAGAAGTGTCTATTCAGGTCTTTTGCCCATTTTTTAACTGAGTTGGAGTTTTTTTGGTGTTGAGTTTTATAAGTACTTTATACACTTTGGCTATTAGCCCCTTATCAGATGTATTGGTGAATATATTCTCCCATTCTGTGGGTTGTCTTTTTATTTTGTTGATGATTTCCTTTGCTGTACAAAGACTTTTTAGTTTGTTATACTCCCATTTTTTTCTTTTGTTACCCTTGCATGGAGAGATATATCCAATAAAAAAATTGCTATGAGCAATGTCAGAGGTTTTGCTGCCTATATTTTTTTTCTAGGATTTTTGTGGTTTGGGATCTAACATTTAAGTCTTGAATCCTTTTGAATTTATTCTTGTGTGTGGTGTAAGAAGGTGGTCTAGTTTCATTTTTCTGCACGTATCTGTCTATTTTTTCCCATACCATGTATTGAATAAACTATGTTTACCCCATTGTATGTGCTTGCTTCCTCTGTCAAATATTAATTGACTATAAAGGTATGGGTTTATTTCTGGGCTCTGTATTCTGTCCATTGATCTATGTGTCTGTTTTTATGTCACTACCAGGCTGTTTTGATTGCTATGGCCTTATAGTATAGTTTGACATTTGGTAGTATGATTCCTCAAACTTTGTTCTTCTTTCTCAGGATCACAGTTGCTATGTGGGGTGTTTTGTGGTTCCATATACATGTGTGAAGTATTCATTCTAGTTCTGTGAAATATGTCATTGGAATCTTGATGGAGTTGCATTGAATTTATAGATTGCTTGGGGTAGTATGAACATTTTAATTATGTTAATTCTTCCTGTCCATGAATATGGTATGTGCTTCTTCCACTTATTTGTATCTTCCTCAATTTCTTTCTTTAGTGTCTTATAATTTTCTGAATACAGGACTTTTACATCCTTTGTTAGGTTTATTCCTAGGTATTTTATTTTTTTTGAAGTAATTATGAATGGTATTGTTTTCTTAATTTCCCTTTCTGTTAGTTTGCTATTGGTCTATAAAAATGCAACTGATTTCTGGATATTAATTTTGTATCCTGCTACTTTGCTGAATTCTAACACAAAAACTCAATTCAGGTATCACCTCCACAAAGTTTTCTTTGCATACTCCACACCCCCCTCCTGGCTCCACTCTCTGTGTCTCTCTCACACTCTGTGTCTGTCTGTCTGTCTCTCAGTAGAATGTGTGTACGTATGCGCAGTTATATTGAAATTGTCTGCTTGTGCACCTGACTATCCCACTAAGTTTTCAAAGTGTAAGCCAACCAGATAGATACCACCTTAGATATATTTAATAATATAGGACACACATAACAACAGTTGCCACAATTTCTTCACCTCAAATGAAAGTTCTTGTTTTGCTGTCTTAGAGTTTTAAGACAGCAAAACATAAACTTTGAAAATTTACCAAGTTGGTGAATTTGAAAGTAGCAAAAGGGGAAGTTTATTAATAAGGAATACCTTGAGGGAGTTGATTCTGGAAGAAGGTGTTTTTAGTGAGGTGTGATTGACATGCAATAAATTGAACTATTTAAAGTATACAATTTGATAAGTTTTTATATATGATACACTCATGTAATCATCACTACTATCAAGATTCAGAACACTTCTGCCATTTCCCCAAAGTTCTTAATCTTTATAATAGTGATGATTATATGGGTATATCATACATCAAAATTTATCAAAATATCCTTTCTCCATTGAATTACCTTAGTACCTTTATCAAAAAGCAGTTATCCATATTATATATAGGTCTATTTCTGACTCTTTGTTCCACTGATTTGTTTGTCTAGCTTTACAAGACAATAGTTTCTTATTTACTATAGTTCTGTTATGCTTTAAAATAAGATGTTAACCCTCTAGTTAGTTTTTTAAAATTGCTTTGATTATTCAACATCCTTCACATTTCTATATGAATTTTAGAATAAGCCCATCAATTTCTACAAAAAATCATGTGGAGGTTTTATTGGGATTGCATTGAATCTATGGGTCAACTTGGAGATAATTGACATCTTAACTATATTGAGTCTTCTCACTCATGAATTCTCCATTTATCTGGGTCCTCTCTAATATCTCTTAGCAATGCTTTGTAATTTTCAGCTATCCATGTGTTGAATTATCTTTTGTCAGATTTTTCTCAAAGTGTTTTATAATTTTGGAGCTGCTGTAGTATTATTTTAAAATTTCCAATTATTCTTTGGTAGTTATATAGAAACACAATTGATTTTTACATATTGATCTTGCATTATGATATGTTGCTAATCTTATTCATCACTTCAGTTCTTTTGTAAGTTCTGTCAGATTTTCTATTTAGACAATCATCTTCAAACAAAGACAGCTTTGCTTCTTCCCTTTCAATCTAGATGCATTTACTTCCTTTTCTTGCCTTCCTGCACTGGGTTAGATTTCCAGTACAATATGGAAAAGAAGTGGTATCAGTGGATACCCTCAGCCTTGTTCTTAAATAAGGGAGGAAAACATTTGGCTATCTCTCATTAACTGTCAGATACTTTTTCTATGTTTATTGAAATAAGCTTATAATTTTTCTTCTTTTAGTTTATTAATGTAAATTAATATTGATTTCTTCTTTATATATGAAACCAAGTTTGCATTCCTAAGATAAACCCCACTTGGTCATGGTATATTATTCTTTCATGTGTTGTTAATTTGATTTGTTATTACTTTGTTTAGAATTTTTATATCTATGTTTACGAGGGAAATTGGTTATAGTTTTCTTCAAGTGTCTTTAATCTAGGTTTGATATAAGAGTAATGCTAGCCTCATGAAGTTAATTGGGAAGAATTCCCTTCTTTTTAATTTTCTGGAAGAGTTTTTGTAGAATCAGCATTATTTCTTCCTTCCGTGTTTGGCAGAACTCATCAGTGTGGCCAGCCACTGGGCCTGGAGGTGTTTTTATGGGGTGTGATTTAATTACAATATCAGTTTTTTAAATGGCTTTATGTCTCTTTGGGTTGTGCGTTTCTTCTTGAGTGACCTTCGGTAGTTTGCAT